CGCTATCACTCTCTTCTAACAACTTTTAAGTTTTCATTTTTCTGCTCCAGTTTTAGTACTGAGAAAAGTACCTAAATCTTGAAAGTATCTATCTAGCACTATAGAGAGAGGTATGTACACAGTTATGCCCCCAAATACTGGGTCTTTCAAGCTCTCTTTTTCAGCTTCTTGTGATATCATTTTGAACCATCACTACCTACAATATCTACATATTTACAAAAAAAAATCTACGATACCTGTAAACTTACATGCTTACAAATGTTATTATCATTATTAGCAGATAGTGAATTTGTACCATTTCCTCAATTTCTTTAGGCTCATTTGCTCTCTCTCAATTCTGGCCCTACCTGGCTACTGAAGAAATTTTCAAACCTAGTGAAAATGTGAAATAGCCCTGGATCCAGGTCAGCTTTTACGGGCTGGCTTTCTGTGTCTGTGAGGTCGAACTCACCCAAGCATTTGTTTGGCAGTCCAAGAGCCCTGCAAGGAGTGTGACTACTGCCTACGCTCTCCAGTGGTGAAGCAGGCAAATTTGGACACTGCAGCTGTCTGCTTCTGAAGACAGCTGGAAATAACCCAGTCTGATAGGATCAGCTATCAGAGGCAGGGCCGCACTGCTGCGTGTAAACAGCATGCTATCTCTGAGACTCTGAGACGGTGACACAAACGGCCCCAGGCTCAACCTGCCCTCAAAATAGCAGTGAAGACACTTCACAGGCAGTCTTGCCCAAGTAGAATGAGAATCACAGACTTTCGGGCCTGAAAATCCCCATAGAGTTCACATCACAGGTCTCTTGTTTTGCAGATTAAAAACAACAACAACAAAAACTCGCGGCCAGGAAGACAGAGAGATGTGTGATATTCATAACTGTCACATATGCACCCATGGATATGTAACTAAGCCCTTTAGGGGTCCATGTAGATTCATGTATCATTTGATTGTGCTTAAGTTAGTACATGTGTTTTCTTCCAAAGAGCTAACTCTGTAGATCAACAAAAGTTCCTAAGATTTAGCCTTAGATATAAAAGTAAATATTTGGATTCACCCTCAATCCAAATACACCCTCAGGAGGAGTGATGTCACCAGTTATGTGGTTCCTTCTTGACAGCCTTTGTCTGGGACCAGGCGCTGAAACTACAAAGACAAAAGGCACACTCTGATCCAAGGGTGTTCACAGTCTAGTGTCAGAAATAGATACATGAGCAAATAATTAAGAGAAATTACAACAAAGAGTCATATAGGAGATTTATGTGAGGTGCAATATTAGCATATGAAAAAGGGGCAGTGGGCGGGTAGAAAATCTAGTAAGGCAGTGCAGAAAAACTCATATTTAAGTTAAATCTCTATAGTAACTTTTGAATCCTGGAGAAAGGAGTGGGAAAGATGTAGTGAGGGTAAGGAAGGAAGTGGTGCAGAGAGAAAATTTTAGGCAAGAAGGAGGAGTATTTTATTTAATGTGAATCAGAGTCTGAGTCACCATTTTCTCTCTCATTCTTCTAGTCTATTGTCTAATGCAATTAAAATTTGTGTAAACGACCGTGATAAGGGTCTCCTTTGGAGCAATACTCATAAACTTCATGGTTGCATTTTCCTTCTTTCTTAGAAACCCTTATGTCTTATTTCTTGGTCTGTATTTGTGTTCTATTTGATTGATGTTGCCAGAAATATGACCATACAATGGACAAGAGGTATTACGGGTTGGAGGTGACCAAATATCAGCTGGTGTTAATTCTTAAGCTAGGGGGAACATTGGGAAATTGGGAAATCATAAAAATCATCCAGAGCAGAAAGACTTTCACTATGCTCTCAGATTAAAAGTAAACAAAGAAACAAAACATTCACAAAAAATAAAATAGGAAGGACTAAGCACACATTTTCAAAGTTCAAGTTTTTTGGAGTCAAAGACAGCCAGATTAAGGCAATATGATATCATTGTTTGCCTACAAATTGGCTGGGCTTTAAAAAAAGCAAGATAGTAAAGGAAAATAGGTACATTCACTTATTTCTGGTGGGAGTGAAAATTAGTAAAATTGACGTAGTAGCATAGTATCCTGGCAGACAATTTCTCTCTCTCTCTCCCTCTCTCTGTATATATATATATATATATATATATATATATATATATATATATATATATATATATATGAGCTGTTTCTAGCCCCTCTGGTGGTTGAGCTGGCACAAGGGATACCCCCAGAAATCACAATGTTGGCATAGACTATCTGGCCCAAGGCTCCCAGACCCTCTTATCAGATAGAACATTTCAAGAGCTTAGAGATACCTCCCAGGAGCCAAGTGCAAAGGCCAGACCTCTCTTTGGGTTAGGTTAATCCTTTACTGATGTGTGTGTGTGTGTGTGTGTGTGTGTGTGTGTGTGTATACACATATATATACACATATATATAACATATAAACAAGTACATATATATGTATGCATATTTTGTATGTATATATATTTTAAAATAAAATATGTATGTATTATATAAATATATGATATATACTTTGTCAAATTACCTTTAAGTTTTATAAGCCCACAAACCCTTATCCCAAGAAGGTAATATGTATGTGCTTAGACCATGATATAAAGATGTTCATGGCAGAGGTGTTTTTTAATACCCTCCCGCCAAATGGAGTAAACTAATACTTGGAAATCGGGTACACTTTTAATATCTTATGATATGTCCATATAATAGAATACAATATAACCATTAAATACAATGTTCTTCTAGAAATCATAAGGATTAAGATAGTAGACATAAAGTACTTAATAGTAGATATAAAGAACAGTACCTAATAAGTGCTCATTCCATGTTAACTTTTTCATTATTATTAGTAGTAGTATTACTATTATTATCATATCTTAAGATGGGGTGAGATGTTCCTATATGTAAAATGAAAAAATGTTACAAAACAGTATGTAAATTATGATACCTATTACATATGCACACATATGTATTTCCATATATACATATACATGTATATGTGTATACCTTTGTTTATTTATGCACTTAGCAAAACGAGGGAGCATGTATTAGTTTGCTAAGCTGCCATAACAAAGTACCACAGACTGGGTGGTTTAAACAACAGAAGTTTATTGTCTCTCAGTTCTGGAGGCTAGAGGTCCGAAATCAAAGTGTCAGCATGATTGGTTCTTTCTGAGGTCTGTGAAGGAAGAGTCTGTTCCAGGCCTCTCTCCTTGGCTTGTAGAGGGCTGTCTTCTCCCTGTGTCTACTGACATAGTCCTTCCTCTATGCGTGATTGTGTCCAAATATTCCCTATTTATAAGGACACCAGTCATGTTGGATTAGGGCCACACTAATGACCTCACTTTAAGTTGATTACCTCTGCAAAAGCTCTATCTCCAAATAAGGGCACATTCTGAGGGACTGAGATTAAGACCTCAGTATTGAATAGGGGGACGCAGAATACAAGTCAGCCTACAATAGAGAGTATGTACATTAGTAATTCTGGAATTATAGATGACATTTATTTTACTCTTTTTGCTTACCTGTTATTTTCTACCACGGACTATTACCATTAATTAAATTTAAAAACATTATTTTTTAAAAATTACATGCTTCAGAAAGCCAGATAACTTGTTTACAGTTTTAAATGAAAATACTTTTAATTCTCTGTACTTCTCTATTCATTTTTAATATCACCTCCATTTCTACTGGATGATTAATATTCCTTATGCAAAGGAGAAATTTGGAGACAAACTCTGGATATTCAAATTATGTGTGCTATATATACTATGTGTGTTATGGAGTTCAAGGGTACTATTTTCCTTTTGAGTTTTTGTTTAACTGTAGGTTCCTAAACTGCATTGATTTAGGGCAAAATAGAATTATTATGTAGCTTCAAAGTATTGTAATTTTGGAGGGATGCTTACTCACTTGTCAGTTTCAGACCTTACCAAATCTAAAGCCAGTATTGCACATTTTTCCTGACTGGTGTGCATCACTATTAAGTAGGAATCCTGTGTTGAAAAAGTTAGAGCAGAGGTAAAACATGTTTTATACACTAGATAGGCTTCTGAGTAATCAATCACTGTTATAGACATCAGATTATACTTAAATGCAACAGGATAACTTGTCCTTCTGTGAAACAAAGAATGAATTTGTAAAATAACCAAGTTATAATTAATCTGTGTATATATTTAAACTTTAGTGCTGAATTGGACTTTTTGGAAGACAAGGGTGTGTCTTACTCGCATAAAATTGCTGGAATTAGAACAAGCTACTCAAAGATGAAAAGTTTATATGAGAAGAGCTTACACTCAAAAATTGTTTTGAAATCTATTGTTTGAAAGTGCTAGTCACTTGATTTTAAGCTTCGCTGTTCATTTACGGGTAGGGTGCTCTGTAAAATTAATTCATTGTCCATAGTTAATATATATTATCTACATATTATGTTAGGTAGCTTGTATGGCTAATGCTTGCTTAACCAGACATAATAATTGGTCCAGTTTCATGAAATAAATCGGATACCCCCCCCAAAAAAAATCTGGTTCTTTACTAATATTCCCAGTGATGCTATAGAATTGCAAAATAAATTACTGAAGGGTTGGTGGCTAATACCTTGGTGGGTAAGAAAATTATTACTCATTATGCTAAGTAATGTGTTATATCAGCATGTAAATAACTTAAGTGATTGCATGGAAAGAAAACTACTCCAAAGAGCAAGTTAATGTACCTGATTTGTTTATTTATTCATCTAATTTAGAGCTGAAAGATTTTTGGACTGATACTATATATGAAAATGTGTCACTAAAATTTATTAGTGCTCAGAGCAAGGGACATTACCTATAAATATAGATTTAAATAGTTGCATGCTTGGTTATCTCTGTTAAGTTAAATCAGATAAGATTCCTAATACATAATTCTCCATTGTATGTTAGAAGAGAGTCTACCCATCTCCCTGTTTCTGTCAGTTTGTAGCTTGGATGGGAAATTAAAAGTTAATTTGCTCTTTTGTCTTTTTCTCTTTTTCTTATCAGCAGTGCCTGGGAGGCATGGTGACGTATACTGAAAGTGACCTTCAGTTTACTCATATCATCTTGACACAAGTGAGCCAGGCTCTACACTTGTAATTTTCATTATTAGCCACAAGAAGAGGAGCCTCTCTCAGTAGGAAATACACAACATCCAAAAATATATAGGTATTTTAAATATCTCTTGTGTGATTGCTTAAAGAGGGTTATAAGAGTAGAGAATCAATAGAGAAGGTGATTTGTGAAGGAGAGAAAATTATAGATGAAACTGCCACCCTGTAGAGGGTGAAGTGATTTACCCAAGGTTAGAAGCAGAACTTCTCTTTAGGGGCACAGTCCAAACTAGAACCCGGGGGTCCTGGTTTCCGGTACAGAATGCCTTCCCTGATTCCTTCCTGCCTGAGTCAATGGAAAAGCAAATGAGTTTTCTTTTTTCCCCAAATCGGTCAAGACAACTGGTTTAGAAACTGCATATCCACATGTCAGTGGGTCATGTTATTTCTTTACCTCTGCCCTATTCATATTTTTGTCTCTCTCAGCTGAAATTAAAAAGCATAGCTTGTAAGGACAGAAAGTGGCTCCATGTCAACTTTCCTCCTGTAAATTATTTTTATGAGCACGCCAACCAAGGGAATCTCTAAAACACATGATTGCTTTTGGCATCTAACCAACCCTTCTCTTTTTTCCCCCCATTTTATGGGTAAAAAAAGACTTTTCTGGTCATTCTTCTCAGACGGGGTCATTGAAACTTCTGTAATGTATAATGTAAATACATCAACTGGCAAAGAAAAAAAAAAAAGTAGCCCGATGAGAGTAGGCATCTGGGAGTTCAGGCTCCTGAAATCTATTTCTTATATATATGGAGCATGTGACTTACGACTACTCCTGCATCACTTTTCACTCCTCAGTAAAGAGCTGATTTTAGAAGAAAGTCCTGGTTAAGAGTAGCTACATTAAAAATGTTAGAACTACAAGTCTGAATTATTATGTCTGAATAGGTAGGTAGGGCTGCTAATGACTTTGTTGAGTGTTTGATGAAAGGTGCTATGTCAAGATCTTAACTGGGATTTACTGGGTAACCACTATGTGCTCAGTCAACACTGCGCAGGACATCTGAATGCAGCAAAGGACACAGAGCTGCAGGCTGTGCCCTTGGGAGCCTTCTTTATAAACATGCCAGAGCAGAGACAGTGACCTCATGCTTCCCAGGGAACATCTTCCCTGGGTTGTCCTGAAGTCACCTCAAACTCAACATGTCCAAAATAGAACGCAAGCCTTCTCACACATTCGTGGGGTCACATCATTCCTCCATTTGCTCAGACTAGAAATCACATTTTCATGCCAGTGGGTCTGTGCTGTCTCCTATGTCGATACCTTCCATTATTACCTTGGTGTAGGCTGGTGTCACCCCTTGCTCTGACTTTTGTAATGGCTTCAGAGATGGTCTCTGCAAATGCAGATTCTCCTTCACCAGCCCACCTTCATTGTTGTTAAAGGCATAACCTCCTGAAACATACTCTTATGTTAACCACCTTCCCTAAAACCTTAAGTGGCTCCTTGCAACCTACAGAATAAATTCTAAAAGTTCTCAGCCTTGAATGCAAAGCACTTCCTTAATAGGGGCTCAATATGCCTTTTTCAGGCTCATCTAAAACTAGATCATTAATGAAATACATCAATTTCCTCCAAATATGCTCTATGTTCTTCAGCCTCAAAGTCTCTTCTCATACGATCCCCCTAATAGAATTCTTTACCCATTTGTACCAACTTTTAAGGTCCTACCAAACTTTTGTAACCTTCTTGGGGATACAGAGTAAGTGCCAACATGTGGGTTGCCTTGTGCCACCCCAAGATGGAACCAGAGCCGGTGCCCCTCATTCACATATACAATCAAATCATAAAATGTGTAAAGATTAGAGGGTATGATATGGGAGTTGTTGGCTGGATATCAACAGGCGAGACTACCTTACAATGTGACATATTTTGAAGACAGACTCAAATTGTAGGCCTGACCCATGCATCAGTTGTATTATAGAGAAAAACCACACCAAAAATACATTACCAAAATATATATATATTACTGCAACCAGGGATGAGAGTCAAGGGGGATGGGAGGGCAGATATAGATGGTAAACTGAAGATATCCAGTGTGATCTGTGTTTTACAACTAAGGGAGGAGGGATGTTTAGTAAGAGTTTCGTTTTAGTACTCAAACCTCATCACTGTATAGGATGGTTAGATTTAGAGAGCAAATTGAACTTTCTGTTTTCTTATACTTTATGTTGTTTCTCCCAAATATATTTATCAAAGCACACTTTAAGGGAGGGGTGGGAAATGCCAGTTACTCAAGAATATCTATCCTCTGCCCGACTGAAGAAATTGTTCAAACAGAATGCGTTCTTTCATAAGCACTGCTTCCTAACTCAGCCAGGGTCAGTAAAGTCTTAGGTTATTAGTTATGTAATCCCTAGTTCCTCAAAGTGCAGTTTTGATTTGAACACACGGTTTCAATTAGTTGCTGCAGGTTTTGCCTCTAGATAGATCTCATTTTTAGAATCAAGACAGGCTCAGATAATCATAGCATTTTAGAACCATTCCTGATTTTGCAAATAACACACCTGACTTCTGAGAGGTAACTTTATCACAACCACAGCTCCAAGCCCAGGGCTCTCTCCATAAAACCATTTGTAGGTTGAATCATGTTTTCCAAAAAGATATGCTGAAGTCCTAACCCATGGTATCTGCAAATGTGACCTTATTTGGAGATGGTTTTTACAGACATGATAAAGATGTAAATTAAGGTGAGGTCATCTTGGAGTAGGTGGGCCCTTAATCCGAGATGACTGGAGTCCTTTTAAGAAGAGACATGAGATGAGACAGACATACAGGGAAAACATCACATGACCACAGAGGCAAGCTAGAAAGAGGCAAGGAAGGATTCCACCCAGAGCTTCAGAGGAAGCATGGCCCTCTTAACTGCTTGATTTTGAACTTCTACCTTCCAGAGCTGTGACAGAATATATATCTGTTGTTTTAAACAACCTGGTTTGTGGTACTTTGTTACAAGCAGATCTCGGAAACTAATACACCACTCTCTCTCTTCTGATGGCTTATTTTAATTTGTATTATATTCTCTTGAGACCCTCAAAACAAAACGACTTGGGTGGCATCTGGGTGCCAGACACTGCTTTGAACTTGGTGAAATCAAAGCTCCAACCCACATGCTGGTCCTGAGGTTCATCTCTTTTGACCTTTGGGGACATTATTACTCACTATGTCATATTGTCTTATGTCTGCCAGCATGTTTAGTCAAATAAGCACTTTAAATTTTGCTCCCCGGATACCTCTACAAGCTGTAGCATGGTACGGCAGTACATGGGGTCTACCTCTCCAAGTTGCTATTACTATAGTGACATGAAAATGTTATAATAGTACTGGCTAACGTTTATTTAATACTAATTCTGTGCCCAGAACTGTGCAGATGCTTCCATATCTTGTCTTATTCAATTCCTGCAAAAAGATTCTGAAGATGTTACCATTATCTATGCCCATTTTACAGATAATAGAAGCTGAGGTACAGAAAGGTTAAATAACTAGTCCAGGGTCATATGGCAAGAAAACAATGGAGCTGGGATTTCAAGCTACATCCAAGAGACTCTAAGGTCCATGGATTCCCCTCGATACTATAGTGTAGACAATGACCTTAAACTGTTTACCTTAGAAATTCACCTTGGAAACCCCCCAAATTTATTAAAAGTCCCTTCAGAATTTAGCTCCAATCTCCCTTCTGGCCTCATCTCTTGTCATCAGGCCCTACCACACACACACACACACACACACACACACACACATACACGTACACATACCATAGGAGGATTTTCATATTCCCTGGAACACAAAGGCTCTTTCACCCATCTGTTTCCTACATTCTCTTCTCTTGACCCCCGATGCCCATCCCCCATGCCCTATGCACATTATGAATATCTCCCCACACCTCATGACCGGAAGAAATATCAGCCTCTCTGAGTCCCCAGAATCCCATAGGTAGTTGTGCCCTTTCTACAACACTTATTCAAGCATATATCCTGACACTGGGCTGGGACTACGGTGAGGCTCATGAGTCACCCATGCACAACAGTTGAGGAGACACTTGCTGTTGGGGTCTAGGGGCAGAATAATTAGTGAGATATTGATTTGTATTCATTCCCTCAGTATGGTATCTCCTGGAGCAGATTCTGTTGTGTTGGGGGCAGAGCAAATACGGAAGAGGGAGAGAGAGGAGATTATCCTTCCAGGCAAGGAAGAGAGTGGAGTTGGGTGGGTCCCATTGGCAGCAGGACCCAGGCAGGCCCGACTCTTAGTGGAGCCCTGCAAGGTAGCAGGACCACAGCGTGTGGGGAGAGCTATCCATTTATCTAGGAAACTGGTTTTAGGCATCAGGCTCCTGTGTTCACGAGGAACCACCGGCCCACGTGTGTCATGGAAGTAACGGGGCTTCCAGACCTCAAGGAACCAGCAGGGCTTGGACCGCAGGCATCCCGGAATAGCCGATGTGGACCCCAGATTTCAGAGGGTCTCCTCGCATGCTCTGGGCTATGAAAAATCACAGAACCTTTGCATGGCACAGGAGCAAAGCAGGAAATTACCCTCAGTAATGACTGAGATTGAACTTCCCAGATGCCCTGCAGGATGAGAGCTTAGAGTAGCATTTAATCTCCTTTCAAGAAAATAAAGACAAATAACATGTATCACACACACATTTCAGTTTGTGAGCCATGATTCATACCCCAAACATTTGTTTTCGTGACTGTCTCTATTACTGGACCATGAGCTTCTCCAGGGTAAAAACTCATACCCTTTTGTCTTTGCACTTCTCAGCCTTTGCATGGTGCCTGTTACAAAGCAGGCCCTAAACAAATACCTCCTGAATGGCTGAATGAATAATGAATCACTCAATCAAGCAGTTAATCGGTCTCTAAGGGCTCTTCATGCCATTTTATTCTATGAAAGAAATGAAAAAGTACCAGATCCTCCTATTCAATCTTTTATTTCAGAATGGAGCTGAGGTCCAGCCCTCCCCACCAGGAAAAAAAAAAGAGAAAAAACAAACAAACAAAAAAAAGCCAAAGGTAGAAGGAGGAGGGAGAGGAAAGGATTGTTGCTAACTTGTAAAGGCTTCCTCCTTCTTTAGGTTTTTGATTCAGGAGGATGAATGAGTGAATTTTCTTCCTCTTTTATTTTGTATAGCACTAGCTTCCTCCAGGAAATGTGAGAAATCCGAGAGTTAGGCTGGGTACCTACCTCTGAGAATTTGATCAAGGGCTGTGGGAAGCCATCAGGGGATGCTGTTAGGGAACCAGTGCTGCCCTTTGGTTTTCTTCACGCGTACTGAAAACTCAGAGCTTTACTAACTGGTTTTTCCAGGTGTGTTCATTCTGGAAGTCCATGACCTGGATAATTTGGCTGAGGGAACTTATGTTCATAGTTGTGTAGTTACCTGGCTTCCAGGCACCAGGGACAAGAGGACTCAAAATAATATTCTATGATAGTTAACATTCACAGAGTTTTATGTGATTCCTTCTATGTGCAATTGTTGGGACTTCTCTCCAGAAAACTATATCTAAGAGCCAAATATCTGGAAAATATTCTAGGAGACAATCAGGAATCATGAACAAGCAAACATGGGGTAAGTAAGCCATCAGATTGCTCCCCTTTCTCTTCCAAACCCCTTGAGACAATGGGCCACTACAATGAAGTACGTTGGTAATTTGATAAAAGCCAGGGTGCATCACAGGAAACACTGGTTTCCCAAATTGCCTTAGGAACACTGGCTTTTCATTTTTGCCTTTCCTAGGACTCCTAAGAGAGCCCTTTTCCTCTCCTATCCAGCCTGGTTTAGCTCTTAATTAAATTCTTTTCTCTTAGGCAAACTAACAGGCTGGCTGTTTGTTCCCAGTTCCAAAGATTCTATCATCTTATTAACCATCTGTAAGAGCAAAAGCATCTTGATTCTCCCAAGAGGGAAGACATGGAAGCCGGGAACCTCCATCACCCGAGGGCTATTTGGTGGCTTCCCTCTTCCTTCCACACCCCTTTTGGAGGTAAGAGTCATCCCATCCTTGCTTCTTTTAGGTTCCACTGGAGTCCAAAGGATTAGGCAATGGGCATGAGTGCAGTACTCCAGCCCTACTCAGGGGTCAGAGCTCACAGCCAGCCTCCTCACAAGAGGTCACTGTGGCTGGCTGCTCCCGGGCAGCTCAGGCTGAAGCTGTCTGATCTCAGACACACAAGGGCAAAGCCCCAGGGGTCTGGCTTTGTTGCCTGTAGGGCCAGTTTGGCCTGGTGACCAGGTGGATGCTCTGACGAAGGGGCAGCTCTCCTCTCTCACTCCTGGGTTCAAGTCTGGAGACAGAGTCTGAATTCAAGAGAAGCAGACTTTAGAAACCAAAATAGAATTAGAGAGAAAAATGCTATAAACTTTACAGACTAGAAGAAACAATTTTGCCTCTATAAGAACATGTTCTTGATTTCTGATAGAAATACTGTATATTCATTACATTTGTGAGCCAAATATTGACCTGACCATGGCTTTTAATGATAGTGTTAGGACAAACCTATAATCCTATATCAAGGAATAAAGTTAAGTGAAATTATGTAAAAATAAAACTAGTGTCTCTCACCTTAAAATCTTCCTGATGGTTAGGGTTCACTTTAGAAGTTCAACAGCAGTTGGTCTACCTTCATGACCTCCTCTAGACGAGCCTGCTTTCCCTCAAGTGTTAGCAATCATGATGTGTTAAATGTTTCTCCTACTTTATTTCTAGGCTCTTCATTTTGTCTAATTATGCGTTTTAAAACTGCACATTGACTGTGAATCTATCTTACGTGATTCTTGACATACCCTGTGTTTTTAAATAGACATTTTGAAAATGTAACGTTTTATTTACAACGTAAGTTTGGGCAAATTCACCCTCGCATTCAGGTTGAAAGGAGCCTAATCAATTGATTATCTAACTTCCATCACTTCCTCACCATCTTAAGACTCTGACTCAAATCATGCGGGGAGAGTCTTAAATTGTTTTGTGCTCAAAGCACTTTTTATTTTTTTGCAAAATATTCTTCAGTGCTGATGCACTTCCTTAATATTATCTATAGTAAGATATGCACCAATACCCTGACATAAGTGTGCTTCCAGACAACCTAGAACTTGTCATTTTATTCCATTTTATTCTTTAGTTGCTCCTAGAATCCATTTCAAACGAAAGAGTAAAAGCTATCATGTAAATAGGTTAGGTAAGCGGAAAGGAAGACAGAAATGCTTACAAGTTGCAAACAGGAAAAAGAAATTAGGACAACAGGACTTCAGAAAGGCTGCAAACACATTCGTAAACAAACAAAGACTGCCCTGGAGCAACCGTCATGTTTGTCTTTGCTCTGATGGTGCAATGTGGTCTAGTGGTCTGACCAGCTGGGAATCCAGTGCCTGGGTTCTCAGTTTTTTGCTTCAGACTTACTGTTCTGTACTGAATGGCCTTGGACTGGATGGTCTTGGACAGGGTTTCTTGATCTGAGAGATAGGCAGATTTCCCAGCTGAGAGGCTCAATGTTTATAAGCGGAAAGGTTGCAGAGGAGTGAAGATTATTGTTACAAGTAAAGCAAGGCTGTCACAGATGAACCATCAATGCAAGATATTTTATTTTTAGTTGCGCATTTGGAGGCAAACTCCAATCTTCTCTGCCCTGTACAGTGTGTTTGTTTGTTGAGGTCCCTGATAATCTAGGCCGTTTGGAAAGGGGTGGGGAGTGTGTGTGAGAGCAAAAAGAATCACCTATTGGCAGTCCTTGGTAGTTTTCTGTGATTTGCACATCCTTGTCTTCCCATCCCCAGCATTGATCTCTTTTTTTTTTTACTTAAGAATTTATATTGCAGTGTAAGATTTTATAATTAGCATGACTAGTTATTTGTATTTTTCTCCAAATGATTGCATATTTGCATATTATAAAGATAGATATTCAAACATATCTTAAGTTCTCTTTAAAGGAAACCATGTTTAAAGAAAGGCCCACTTTTATTAAAATTCCATACTCCTTGGAGTGGTTCGGTTTAGTCCAGCTGCTGATCCATGAAATCCATAAATAGTTAAAAGCCTCCAGGGCTTCCCTGGTGGCGCAGTGGTTGAGAATCTGCCTGCCAATGCAGGGGACATGGGTTCGAGCCCTGGTCTGGGAAGATCCCATATGCCATGGAGCAGCTAGGCCCATGAGCCACAACTACTGAGCCTGCACGTCTGGAGCCTGTGCTCCACAACGGGAGAGGCCGTGACAGTGAGAGGCCCACGCACCACGATGAAGAGTGGCCCCCGCTTGCCACAACTGGAGAAAGCCCTCGCAGAGAAACGAAGACCCAACACAGCCATAAATAAATAAATAAATATTTAAAAATAAAAATAAAAAAGCCTCCAGTCCGTGGTAAAGAGGAATAAAATAGACTTATCTCATGACCCCAAAACACATCAAAAACTGCAAAATAATTAACTTTTTACTTGGTGTTTCAACAAAATATTAGACAGTGAGAATTTTGTTATTTCTGAACTGGGTTTTCATCTCAATGTTGGAATCAAATAAATTTGGAAATAATTATGCCTTCTTTGATTTCAAAGCGTAGGCTTTAATAAGAAAATTACTGCTTTTGTTTTTTAAATCATGTAATCGCTCAAGAGGAATTGATTCAAAATTATTGCTATTAAGCCTTATGAACAAGTTACAAAATATAAAAGCTAATTTGCTAAAATATTCCATGCTTAGTAGGTTTTTGTTGTTGTTGATTTCTTTAATGTTGAACATTGTTTTCTTTTTAGAGCTCATTTCTGGCTTACAGAGCCTAGAAAAATGGTCTGAACCAATAGTAACATTTTTTCCTCTTCCTTCTTCCTTCTCTTCCCATTCCTTCCCACCATTCTTTTCTTTTCTCTCCCTTTTCCCCTAACTTTTTTGCCCCCAACGTGTTTCAGTGCTTGCTGTGTACCTGGCACATTGATGTTGAGTGCCTTGGATTTAAAGGTGAAAATAATGCAGGTTCTTCTGAGAGCAGTTCAGGGAGACCTAGGACAGCAAAGCCCACTTACCTACGCCAGAAAGTACTGAGAGCCCAGGCCAGACACAGAGACAACTGGGACACAGGAGAGAGCTTCTCAGGAGGTAAACTTTGAACTGATACTAAAAGACAGGTAGTGATTAGCTAGGAACTTGAAGAGCATGAATGATGAAAACAGCATATACACAAAAGCACAGAAAGAGAAAGCAGACTGATACATCTAATTTATTGTGAGGTGGAGGGGAAGGGGCAGAAGAGTGAGAGGAAGACATAAATCTGGAATCTGAGGCAGGGGCAGCGACTTCCCATGTCTGGCTATGAAATTTGGATTTATTCCTGTGGGTACATGGGAGCCACTGAAGATGATTAGCTAGAAGAATGTCATGACCAGATTTCCACTTTAGAAAGATCACCCTGGCTTCCTTCTAGAGGTCTCGAGGGGATGGGGGTTGAAATTAAGGGCTTCGGGGACATAACGCGTCATACGAATGTGAATTTTCTTTCAGAATCAACCAGGTCCGTGTGTGCATTCATGTAGCAAGCCTTTAATTAAACACCTATTTTCTACATGGCCCTCAGCTCAACACTGTGGTGAAGACAAAAAGAGTTAAGACAGAGTCACTGCAGAGCTCTCAGCATCCCTCCTGAATACCATGTTTTGGTAAAGCAAGCTTGCTGCTGCCTGAACCTCACCAGTGAACTCCCATGCATCGTCTATAACACTCATTTTGTGTATAGCTTAATTCCACTATTCTAAAAATTCCTTTTCTGCTGTTTTGAAATGCAACAACTCCAATAAGTTTAATAGCATCTATTCTTCCTCTTTCTTAAGAAATATTTTCAGTGACAATGACATCTCCCCTTGTACTAACCATTTACAATAACAGTAACAAAATAAAGACCAAAACTTCAGGCTTGTAAATCTGCACAATTCCCTCACCTAGGTGGATGCATTTCCTTCATTTCCAAGAGTGTTCAAAGCGCTACAAGTTAATTTAAAAGAAAAAGAAGCTGGTTGAGCGTTCTCACTCTAATTCCACTTGTAGGAAATAAAGAAGGATAGAAATTAGCACCTATCTCAGTGGAGTGTTCTGAGAAATCACTATGTGAAAAGGCAGAGTGTGATCTCAATCAAAAGCTTCTGCAATAAGATTTTGGAACCAAATATAGCCCCTATAAGTAGACTTGACTTATAAGTGGAAACAATCGATCTTACAGTTAAATTTCTGGGGCTTTTGAGAAAAGAAAATCCAAAATAATCTTCATTCATATCTTACACTAATTTCTTGAGGTTTTAGAAATTATAACACTTGACTATTATACAGTCTTTTCTAAGGGCACTTGTATGAAACAATTTCATTTTCAAAAATTAGAAAAACTTTTTATAATGAAATAGTTTAAGGGAAAAATGAAAAAAGAAATTGGAAACACAGGTAGTACTGGAAATAAGACCACAAGCTGAACAAAATGGTTATCATACAAGGAACAAAAGAAAGCTAAATGCAGAACTTGTAGCTTGTATATTAATAATGCAAGAACCATATACATTTATTCATAATAATTGACTGAAGATAATTTGCTGTGGAATGATTGAACCAGAACTAATTGTTGTCCTGTGCATTTTATTTTAACACCATAACCTGATATTATAAAGATTTTCATACTAAAATTTAATGTGGTCAACATTCAAGCAGTATTAATGTCTGATTATGTATTCATACAATAAATGTATTATGGATACTATGAACAAATTGAATACAAAACACTTTTGAAATGGTGTTTGATAAAACATATATGTGTATATGCATACCAATTGGCATACATATATATACACCAATTACATAACAAATATTTCAAATCATTTTGGATCACGAATTTCTATTAGAAGAAGTTTACTTTATGAGGAAAATAGGATTCTGTTTATTTCTTGGAAGAAAGCTTCAAAAATAATAATGGAGCCTGAAGAATCTATAAAAATAATATGAAGAAGGGCCTGACAGCTCTTGAGGATACTTCAAACAGCTTGAATTTTATCTACTTAACCCACCCACAAGGACAGGGAACATTCATTGCTTTCCAGCTTCTTTTCCACAGGAGATTTGGTGCCACAGGACAAATGGAACCAAGACAATGCTAAGAATGGAAAATAAAAATCAAGGAAACGGTAGAAACATAAAAACACTGGTGCTGTTCTTGGTATCTAGACACCTGAACTCAAATCTTGCCACCACTAATAACTAGCTGCCAGGCTTTGAAAATGGCAGTCACTTACTCTGGACCTCGATTTACTTACCTGTTAAAGGTAGGTAATAATATTTGCCCTACACGTTTCACCAATCGTGAATAACAAAGAAAAGCAGTGAGATAAGAAACCTATAAGTGCATCTCAAATTGCAAGGTGCTGAAACTTTGCCGGGTAATAAGTACTATTCTTCCTGGATCCTTCTCTCTCCTTCGGTGGTTTCTTTTCTTAGGTACTGAGAAGACACAGGCTTGTTCAAGAATAACTCATCCAGAACATTGTTGAAACAAATATTTCAAAAACAATTCTTCAATCATTAGAAGAGACATTTTAGCCCGGTTGAGAAAGATCTCTCTTTGATATTAGTCTATTCAGATATTCAAAGGTAAGTATGGCCCTTTCCTCATGTTCCAGAAGCCTCAAAGGTTTGTCATTTCAGTAAATCTATAAACCGGTAATTTCTGTTTTATAGAGTTACAGTTTATGGTTTGTGGTCTTTGACACCTGCAATGCTGATCTCATATATTACAGGCTCCTTGAGCATACAAACTTTCTGTTAGATCAGGCCTTCCAATGTCTACCCTAGAGCCACTAGAGTTATATTAAAACTGAACACTGATGAAATGGCACTCAACTTAAAAGCTTTACTCAGTTCAGGTCAGTGCAATTCAGCAAACATTTATTTAGGGTTAATTCTGAGCTGGGCACTGTTCTAGGTTATTCGACAAGGATTTAGATATAATCTGGGCCCTCCAGGACTCTCACTGCCTATGAGATACTGTCCAACTCCATGGGATGGCATTTGGGCTTTAAAAAGAAAATCTGTTGCCAATCTAATAAACTAACCATGTAAAAAGATAGTTTTGAAATAATGGAGAAATTTAATATGGCTAACAATTAGATGGTACTTAATTAACATCAATTTTGTTTGTGATAATGGCATTGTGATTAGGGTAAGACAATGCCCATTTTTTAGGGATATATAATGAAGTCAGGAGAGATGAACTGATATATGCCTGAGGTATACTTTTTTTTTTTTTTTTTTTTGCG